TCAAAATACATGCTTGGAATGAAGGAAGCATTTCCTGGAAGAAGATGAATATAGAAGTTGAAAGAGAAGGGATTGGGGGTGGGGCAGGCAATGATGAATTACCCTTACAAAATACTTGTTAAAGTTTATGTACTTCCGTTAGTGCATAGTAGGGATGCAATAAATGCTGCTTGAATTTGAAACTGAGGATTCCTTGGCAAAATTGACTTTGGTTTACTGTAGTTATGGCTGTGTTTACTGCAAGATCTTTATACTTTAGATCAAGTAAGATACTTTTCATACTAATGTCAAACTCTCTTGTATTCCTCAGTGGGTCTTGATTGTTCATTACTAACTTGTTGCTTTCTAACTTGGTGTATTAGGTGACAGAGGTTAAGTTAAAAGTTAATACCTAAGCAAAAGCATAAAACCACTATATACTCTTTGTTTTTAAAATCAAGCAAGCATTTTCTTAATGGAATAGGCAAGGATATTTTGTTTACACATAATAGAACCCACCTAAAATTAACTTTGAAGTTTATTAGAACTTTATTGTTTTTAATTTTGGGGGGTTTTTTGTTGTTTTTAATTTTTTTTTTTTTTTTAGAACTTTTTTTAGAAGTCCTATGAATGTGTATCTGGGCACAAGGAATGTTTAGAATAGAGATTCGGTGTCACCAGGACCTCTTGATCATTCTTTACTCATGGTCATTTTCTTCAGGGTCTCTTGAGTTTTTTCTTTACCACATCCAGTAATTTAGTTTAGGTTCTAATTATACTACACGTGAATGATAGCAGGGGATTCCATCCTAGCTCTGTCTCTGGCAAACTAAATCTTTCCCTGCCAAAGTCCATCTTGAACATTTTGCTTTGTGTATAATTTTCCCTAAGCCCTTCCAGTGTCAATCACTGTTCAACAGTTACTCTGAAATGGAGTCAAAAGTAGAGTATAACACCTCCTACTAGAAACTAAGTAAAACTAGAGAAAATAGGTAAAAATACCAGGTCTACCTTTTTTTATTTTAGTTTCTACAGATATCTTCTGCTCTAATCAGAGTAACCTGGGTATTCATTTTTGTTTCTATACTTGTGCAGTAGTCATTTGCTCTGACTTAAGTGACTTTTCTTTATCTGCCAGTTCTGTTTCTTCACATTCAATCAGATCTCCTCCAAATGTACTGTGATCAGCCACTTTGACTCTCCTCTGTTCTCTGCTTAGCCAATTTTAGAAGTGTTGTTAAATTTTTCTTTGAGAAATGAATTGTTACAAGGTGAGTCACATTTCTCTTTTTTTTTTTTGAAAGATAACTTTATTATTTTTATGTACAGAAAACTCAACACTTAGCCAGTTTGATGGCCAGTTCTTTAGCCTCTGCGTTTTCTAGCTTGGCGATATAAACCACCAGCTTTGCACCCAGGATGTTGCCTCCCCAGTGAGGGCGGATATCATCATATCCGTCACTGTAATTGGTCCTGATAGCTTCCACTGGCTTAGCCAGAGCTCGTTTGTCTTCTGAGTTAATCTGTGTGAAGGCCACATTGGTGCAGGTCTTCTTGTGGACCAGATGGCTCAGCCTGGCCTTCCCCTTGATAATACAGTAGGGAACCCCCATCTTACAACATAGGGCAGGGAGGAAGACAGCCAGCCTAGTGGGATCCACAGCATGTGCAGTCACTACCAGCTGAGCCTTCTAAGATGGTGACAGTATTAACCCCTGCTGGAGGGACAGGTGATCTCTTAATAGGGACATCCCCTTTGCCAGCAGCTTTCTTCTCAGCCTGGGCCAACAATCACTGCTTTTTTTTGTCTTTGGTCTCTGTTTGTGGGCCAGCTTAAGCAGGTGAGTAGCTGTTTGGTGGTCCAAAGGCTGGGTGAACTGGTTAATCCCAGGAGGCAGTTTCACATGTTTATAGAGAATAGCCCTTTGCTGCTGCAGTTGGATGTAGCAGAGCCATTTGACAAAGCAGGTGGGGTCCCTTTGGGGCTGGATATCCTGTCCAATACCAGAATTCTTGGGCCCTTTCTCAAACGGGATTGACCACCTTCTTGGCTTCCTGCTTCCTCATGACAGCAGGGGAGTTGGGGCCACCTTCTTCCCCCTTAGCCTTCTTTCCTTTTCACATCTTGGATGGCTGGAGGAGAGCTAAAATGAGACATACTTTTTAAATGCTTATCTAGGAGGAAAAAATACTGACCTAACCATGAATATGAGATATTCCATATTCCCGAAAGTGATTTAAAAAAAAAAAAAATTCCTTTCCATGCAGTTAGTATGTCACCTATCCTTTTGACACATAACTGACCTAGGTGTCAGGTGTTAGTGATTAGCTTTATTGAAGATAATGATCAAGCTTTATTACCTCCCATTGGAAAGGAAATTTGCAGGTATCTTGTATTGTGAGATAAGTGGTTCTCAAGGTAGTCCCATACCAAGAGCATCAGTATGGCCTGGCTTATAGAAAATATGCAGATACTCTGCCCCTACCTCTGCCCTACTATAGTAGAAATTTTGGGGTGAGGCCCAGCACTCTGTTTTGCTAAGCCGTCAAGGTGATTCTGTTGCCCTTGAATATGACAGACCAAAGGTAGAGAGCCTGAGGACATTTGATTGATGATATACCTATTTTGCATGATCTTTCAAAATATCAGTTAACTCACTTGTAAAAGTTAGAGGTAATAGCAACCTATATTAAGGAAGTTGAGGGAGAGCACGAGAGGGGAATGAGGGGCAGAGGGAGAAGCAGACTCCCCGCCGAGCAGGGAGCCCCACAGGGGGCTCGATCCCAGGACTCCGGGATCATGACCTGAGCCAGAGGCAGACGCCGAACCGATTGAGCCACCCAGGTGCCCCATTAAGGAACTTTTAAAGATGAGATAAATATGAAGTACTTCATGAATTCTTTAGGTCCATGTAAATGTTAGTTGCAAACTTATGCTGAAGGTTTTCTTTGGTTTGGCCCTTATTCATACTAGTGACTTCCGTGGCTCTTGTTTATAGTAGTGACTGTCATTGTTAAACCTTCGAATTTGTGGTGCAGAATTAGTTCATGGGAAATACGAGCTGGGATTAAGTCTAGGTATTATAGAAAAATCTCTGTCAGGGCATGATGTTTCCTTCTGCTTAGTTTTCTTATAAATAAAGGTAGTAAATACTCCCACTGGTACTTTTAAAGATCTTTTGAGATTGCATAATATTCTTATTCTACTTTTGTTCAGAAAAGAGAGAGAATAAGATAGTGGAATCAAAGTACTTACCACAAATGCCTGGTACATAGAAGACACTTTATGGCAGCTATTTGTTATCAGTGTATAAACAACCAGCCTTTTCTATATCTTTCTCTTACTCTACTTTCTTGATCTTGAAGTTCTGTTTTAGTTCTTAAATCCTGATTTTCTAATGCCAAATTTCTGTCTCCTGTACCAGATCCTTGGTACATGGACCAGATATCTGCATGGACTATTCTTGAACACCTCAAGCACTGTTTGTGTTACTGCACTTAGAGAAACACAATAGGAGATGTCAGTTAAGTGTGCCCGCTGCTCTCAGCTAGAGTGGTAGCACCTTACCTGATAGAGTTACCACTTTCAGGTTGTGGCTGCTGTACGTCGTCAGTCAGGGCTCTCCAAATTGACTTCTCTTTCAGAAACAGATTCACAGACTGATTTATAACTAGAGTATCCATTTACAATGGGAAATACAAGTGTTAAACAGCATTTTCTTCCTACCTCTTTCTATAAGAAAATTTTTTCAAATTATAAACATTTGCTTCTCATACGCAAATTCTGACTGATGGGAGTTAGTTGTAGGATCGAAGTGCCTAGTGTCATCAGGTTATATCATCCAATCTGATGTATCCATCTCTACTAGAACAATGTTTTTAACACATGGGTGACTTATTTCTGTCCATGAATAATGCTACAAGACTGCTGGAGAAATACAAAACAGGTCTTGTTTCATGATTGCCCTTCTTGAAGGTTCTAAACTGCCTTAAATTTTTCTCAAAAGAGAGGTGGGGTAGAGGGTTGTAGAAGGAGGGCATGTGTGAATGTGTGTAGTACATTCAGGTGATTTGGATTAAATTTTCTTTTTATAGTCAGAATGCTCTCCCAATTTCCCTGATACTTTATATCACTTGATTACTAGTTAGAGTGAATACCTTCTATAGAAAACTTGATTCATTTCATTGCATATGGATATTTCTTCATTTCATCCTTAGAGGGTGTATTTTTTTATGGAGTTAGGGGTGATTCCTGGCTGAGGCAGTATGATGTACTGATGAGTATGGGCTTTTAGAATTAGACTTGAAATCTGGTAATTTGTAATTTGAAATCTGAAAACTTGTAATTTGAAATCTGAAAACTTGTAATTTGAAATCTGAAAACTTGTAATTTGTATGATTTGGGGAGAGATTGCTTAATCTCTGAGCTTCAGTTTCCTCATCTGTGAGATGGAGGTTATATAACAGTTTTGTAAAATAGATAGCAAAGATTGCATGACAGGATTTTATGTATAATTTTAGGTTATCCTAGAAAAGAACATATGGCTAATGGAATCCAGTGTTATTCCTGTATATCATTACTGTTTTCTTTTAATGTGTTTGGATTGGGTTGTGAATTTCACCTCCTTTTTTGAATTTGTTAACTTAGTTTCCAGTCTCTTTTCTAATTATTTTTCCCACTTCCAAATTATGTATGGTACTCTTAAGTGTGTGCATCTATTTATAGTGTTAACTGCCAGTGTACATTTATTGAATTGATTGCACAGAACAGTTCTACACCATTGTCATTTTTTTATTATACTTAAAGGTTTTGTTGTTAGCGATTAGAATTGGTTAGTCTCTTACAGAAATTCTTGAAAGACTAGGATTTTCCTGGGTTTCAGAGTTGTTTTCATTCACCTTTTATGATTTGAGAATTGTTGATATAGTTCTAAGGATATTCTCTATGAATGAAGGTGTGAATTACAGGAATATGAAATATTCATTTATTCAGAAATTAACTTTTTATTTGGTCTATTTAGGAAGGAGACATGCCAATTCATGAACTTCTCAGTCTTTATGGTTATGATAGTACTATTCGACTACCTGAAGAAGATGAGGAGGAGGAAGAAGAGGAAGAAGAAGGAGAAGATGATGAAGATGCTGATAATGATGATAACAGTGGCTGTAGTGGAGAAAATAAAGTAAGGTTATACACATTTATTAAGATTGTAGTCTTTATTCTTGTTGAAGTAGTAACTTATTAATATTGGAAGTCCCTTATAATCTCCTGAAAAGTGATAGTTTTATCTGTGTCATTCCAGATTTCTTTTCAGGGCCTCTTCTAAATAAATTTGTACCAACTTAAAAAAAATACTACTCTTTTTAAGTATTAAAGGCTAATGGGTAGTTCTGTATTCAATTTTCTTATTTTGTTTTGAAATAATTTGATATATAGAGAGGTTCAAAGATAGCATAGAGTTCCTATGTACTTTTTAGCCAACTTTCCCTGTTTACATCTCATGTAACCATGGTGTGTTTATCAAAAGTAAGAATTGACACTGGTACCATACTATTAAACTATAGACAATTCAGATTTCGCCAGTTTTTCTATTAATGTCCTTTTTTCTGTTTCAGGTTCCAATCCAGAACACAGTGCTGCATTTAGTGTATTTATTTTAGTCTTCTAGTTGTATTTGGAATACTGTAACCTTTCATCTGCAATAATTTTCCTTACATCTTAAAGAAATTTAATGTATTATTCTACAGGAAGAGAATATAAAGGACTCATCAGGTCAAGAGGATGAAACTCAGTCTTCCAATGATGATCCGTCACAATCTGTTGCTTCTCAAGATGCCCAAGAAATAATCCGCCCACGTCGATGTAAATATTTTGATACTAGTAAGTGTCATGGTTGCTATTGTTTGGATAATTTTTACTATTTAATATATGATGTAAAATGCCATTTCTTTTTCACTTGTCTGTTTGGATTCATTTACTCTGAAATCTGGCTGAACAGTAATGGGTTTTGTTCTAGGTTAATTCATTTAGCAGTGCTAAAGCCCCATTGTCCATGAGTAGATTGCAGAGATGGTTGTGTCCCTATACTCCTTGATTTTGAATGTGTTCCTTTTTTTCTTTTTCTTCTTTTGTTTTTAACCATATATCCCCATGTTTACTTTGGGGTGGAGACTTGACATCAGAATGAAGCAAAATTGAGTCCCGGATGTCAGGAGGTTATCTTAGGACAAGGAGAAGGGGCTATGGGCATGCTTTGAGAGCTTGGTATAACCTGGGTGGAGTCTTAGGCTCATTCTCTCAGGTAAGGAATCCAGGGCCTTGCTTGTACATAGGCTGCAACCATATAGTTGACCTTGAGTCTTAAACTTCTGCAGAGACAGCTAGTGCTTGTTAGCAGGGCCTGGTAAGGCTGTGGGGAGCTCTATAAGCAAGGTATCAGGCCAACATTTCCAAGGGGCTTTATTGGCTCCATAAAATTGCTCTGAGTTTCTTAAAACTGTCTCATCATGTCTAAGTCTATGCATGTGTCTCTTAAGGATGACATTCCAGGGGCACCTGACTGGCTCGTTGGTAGAGAGCACGACTCTTGAACTTGGGGTTGTGAGTTTGAGCCCCATGTTGGGTGTAGAGATTACTTAAATAACATCTGTGTCCACTAAAAAGTCAATCAATTTGTTCCCCAAAGTTAACATTTTTAGGTCTAATGCAGTGCCCAAGAAAAGAAGAAATAAGAATACCTCCATGGGCTCAATTACAAATGGAGTGGCAGGCTCCTGTGGGGAAAAAGGTGTTCCTTTTTTTCCCCCAATACTTCTTTAATTTGTCTCATAGTCATCTTTTTTATTTCTTCTAGTCTTCTCAGTTTTCATTTTCTACTTTCTTTCCCTCTTAGCCGTTTTTAGCTATTTCATAAGTATTGCTTTCTCTAATTAGTGGCTCCCAGTTCTCAAGAAGTGGTTTCCTCTTGAGGTGAGAACATGTTATACACAGAAAGAACTCTCCTAATTTTACTACAGATTGTGATCTAGTCAGAGATGTGCAGTAGTTGAGACAACATTTAATGTATGTACCTTGAATATTTGCATGCTTTATCTGCTCCATGGTGTTTCGTGTAAGCAGGAATCATTACTCTGGATGACTGTTCTTTGATAAGAAAAAGGCAACCATTAGTGTTACTGGTTTAAGCTTGGGTCTGAATTTCTGTGCTTTAAAAGAAAGAAAAACATTTGAAGAACAATAACCTCTCATGAAATGGAGCAGTGTAATAACTGATGAAACATGGCTATTCCTTCATGTGAATGATTCCTGATACATATTTTAGAAGTGAATGTAGCGCTAATGATATTTTATTGTGAGTTTTGATCAAAGATATGGTCCAGTTGAAAAGCGTATCAGTGTAAGGAGAGATTGGTTGCTGAAATTATTGTATTAATATTAAGTTTGGGGAAAGCCTGGTATTTTTCCTTTTTCTTCTTAGGTAAATTGCCAAAGTTTGTTTAAAAGTGGGATGCTAAGTGACTGCATCTTTTTTTTTTTTTTTAAGATTTTATTTATTTGAGAGAGAGAGCATGAGCAGGGGGGAGAGGTAGAGGAAGAAGGAGAAGCAGTCTCCCCACTGAGCAGGGAAGCCTGATACGGGGCTCGATTCCAAACCCTGAGATCATGACCTGAGCTGAAGGCAGATGCTTAACCGACTGAGCCACCCAGGGGCCCCTAAGTGACTGAATCTTAAAACAGTATTATTTCATACTTTTGATCTGCTATTTTAGTTATGATGGCTGCACAGAAGCTGTATATATACTTCCTATCTTAACTTTTCCATAGGAAGATTTAATTTTTATATGTAATGTTACCCTTTTGAACTTTGTATTCCATTTTACAGTTGAGAAGATGCTGACAGTGTAATAGTTTTCAAATTTCCTACCCCTTTATGTAAATACATTTTTTACTCCAAAATGTAAACAAATGGCACCTTGCCTGCTCTTGAATAAATCAGAGGTTGAGGAGGATGGAGGTCTTCTTACATAGCCTCCCTTCACACTCTCTCTAAAGTGTTGCTGCTACAAAGTTCTCAGTGTCTCACAGAGCATTGATTAGAAACCAGTTTTTGTTTTTTGTCCAAATTCTTATTTTATTAGGAAAGAATTAGGTTTAGGAACAGATTATCTTGACCCGCTAATTCAATTTTTTTCTTAAATTTTTGTGGGAAATCATTTACTGAGAATACAGTTTCCTAAAATAAGAATTGTCCCAGAAGGCTTATGGGTTTTTTGCTTTGCTTTGTTTTAAACTGATAGGGTATTATTTGATCAGAAATATCTTGGTCCTATTTTTACAAATACTTTTAGGTATACTTAAATGTTTGATGGTAGATGTAAAAATAATGTACAGATATACAGATGTGGACAGGATAAACAGTCATTTTGTAATATTATTGTCTTATTTATTGTAGATAGCGAAATAGAAGAAGAATCTGAAGAAGATGAAGATTATATTCCATCAGAAGACTGGAAAAAGGTAGTTAGAGCTATATTTTCCCAAAGTTCAGGTAAATTAATATTAAAAAGCAAGTATGATTATTACTAGCTATATATTGATAAAGTTGAGGTAAGCCCTTTTGTGACATTTAAATGTTTGGTAGATGTTCAGATTTCCCCTTAATACATTGAGGTAAGAAAAAATACTTATTTTTTTATAAAATAATGATATAGAAAGAATTTGACTTTTTTGAGCAAATCAGTCTCAAACCAACAACAGAAATTAAAATTTTGAACTAGTGCTAATTTAGATTTTTGTTGCACTGTAAAAAGTATCACAAGTAAATTCTTTTACATATTCGGGAAAGCAGTTGAGGCTTTGGTTCTGTTAAGTAGATTTTGTTCAATAATTTAGATTATAAGTTTTTCTATCCCATATTAATGTAGATATTTACAACTCAAAATATATTGGGTGAAGAGACAGATTTGAGCTTTTCTATTACTATGCATAATAAGTTAACTTCTAAAATGAATCTAAAGATTATATATTGACATATGTTTTTAATTATAAAATTGTATAAGTGTACAACTTAGTTATACAGTTAAGTAGAAGAATTAATTTTAAGCTGTTGCAAAGCAGATGAACGTACTAGAGAAATGTGTCAAATGTCATGTAGAGTTTATTAGAACAAATCATTTATATAGAAGAAATATTCTTACTGAGATAGCTCACTCGAATTTTTTTTTTTTGCTGTTCTTTTCCTTGGTCTGATTTTTTTTTTTTTAAGATTTTATTTATTCATTTGAGACACGAGAGAGAGCATGAGCAGGGGGAGAAGCATGCTCCCCGCTGAGTCAGGAGCCCAATGTGGGGCTTGATCCCAGGACCCTGGGATCATGACCTGAGCCAAAGGCAGATGCTCAACCATCTGAGCCACACAGGTGCCCCGTCCTTGGTCTGATTTTAAATTTAGTGCATAAATAATCATTTCTCTGGAAGCAGAATAGCTTTAATCATCAAATTGAGTGGACTCTCTGCACTTTTTATGCCATGATTGTTTAATTACTTAATAGTTTTGAGTCTTCACAACGGTTTTTTTGGTGGTGGTGGTGGTGGTGGTGGTGGTGGTTTAAAGTGTTTTGGTTTGGGAGACACCTGGGTGGCTCCGTCAGTTCAGCGTCTGTCTTCAGGTCATGATCCCAGGGTCCTGGGATCGAGTCCCGCATCGGGCTCCTTGCTTAGCCTGCCACTCCCCCTGTTTGTGCTCTCCCTCTCTCTCTCTCTCACAAATAAATAAAATCTTTAAAAAAAAAAATTTTTTTTTTTTGGTTTGGGATGTCTGGGGCAAACTTAAAGAGCTGACACCCTTGCTAATTAAAATAAGAGAATATCTCATAGAGTTTCTGTTGGAATAATGAAGTATTCAAATGAACTCGGACTGGGCTACCCAAGGATTGTGGGCTTCTGCCAGAATTGATCCATTTCTGGATTTCCAAGGAGATGTTTAGAAGAGAGAGACATCTTAGCATATAATGCTAAGTGAAATAAGTCAGAGAAAGACAATTATATGATCTGACTGATATGTGGAATTTAAGAAACAAAACAGAGGAGCATTGGGGAAGAGAGGAAACAATAAAACAAGATGAAGTCAGGGAGGGAGACAAACCAAAAGAGATTTTTAATCATAGGAAACAAACTGAGGGTTGCTGGAGGGAAGGGAGGTGAGGGGATGGGGTAACTAGGTGATGAACATTAAGGAGGGCACGTGATAAAATGAGCATGTTATATGCAGCTCATGAATCACTGACCTCTACCTCTGAAACCAGTAATACATTATATGTTAATTAATTGAATTTAAATTTTAAAAAATATGTACAGACAAAAAATAAAAGACATCTCTCAGTGTGTTAGAATGGTAAAGGAAGGTGTGGGTTAGAGTGGTAAGGGAAGGTTAGCTCAGTGCAGTGTGTGTTAATTAATTTGAGTGAATGATGAATGAATGATGAGGCTAAAGACTAAAAACAAGGATCACAGAGTTATCCACTATTTATGCCCATTTGGGCAAGCGTTCTTTACTCCGGTTTTTTTCTGATTCCTACACCATGCAGAAATTAGGAAAAAAGCTAAAAACCTTAGAAGTTACCTTAAACTGTTACTTTCTAACCATATATTCAAGTTTATATATCTTTTAAGCTGTTCTCATACACTTTCTCTTCAACTTAAATTGTTTTTGTGTCTGAAGTGTACAAGAGAATATTTGAGTAAGTGTTGAATTATTATTTTTAATGAAGGAACAGAAGCTCAGAGGAGGGAGAACATGGGGGACTATTCCCTTCCCAGGAAAATTATGTAATAAAACAGGCCACAGTAAATCCAGACTATTTGTTTTAGTATGATTTTGTTGTAGTAAAAATTGTCAAGATTCAAATTCATTTTCTAAGGCTTGTAAGATACTGAATTTTTCTAGAAACAGCTTTGAAATCAAATTTGAGTCCAGGTTGTAGCCTCAGAACTTACTAATAGTGCATTAATTTTTTGAGTGTCATCTCAGGTATGATACGGGAATAAAAATTTTAGCCTTGTCGAAGTTGGTGAGGATTTAATGAAAATTATACGTATGACACTTGGTACATAATACTCCTAATTGCTGTTTCCCTTCCCTTCCCTACAGAACAAATCAGCAGGTAAAAAGAAGTGTTCTAAACTCAATAGGAAAAAGGAAGCATCTTATCTTTATACTAGTCCAGAAGCTCTCAAGCCTGCTTGCATGTTAGAATCACTTGGAGAACTTTTAAGTCCTTATTACCAGGGCCTTCTTACAGAGATTCTAATTTAACTGGTCTGGAATGTATCCAGGTATCTATATTTTTAGAAGTGCCTCAGACAGGGAGGGTTGATGACTGGTCTATTGTCTAGTAGGCATTGGTGAGTAAAAAGAGGCACAAGAAGTGATGGTAGGGTACTCTTTTTTTTATAGTGAAAGAGATAGAGTTCTCCTGTAAGAGTAAGGAGAATTTGTGATATTCTTTTTAGAAAATTGACTGGTTTTCTTTTATAGTTGTAGCAATAAATTAATTACATAGAAAGGATGTCTTTGGAGTTATACTAGATAAAATGAGATCCTGCTGTCAGGTTGACAAAAACAGGAGAGAGGAACTTTTCAAATCCTAAGAATTATTTAAAATGTTATTTTTTAATTAATTAATTAATTTGAGAGAGAGAGCACACGGCCTGGAGGAGCAGAAGGAGAGAGAATCTCAAGCAGTCTCTGGGCAGAGCCTGACAACGGGGCTCGATCTCATGACCCTGAGATCACGACCTGAGCCGAAACCAAGAGTCGGATGCTTAACTGACTGCACCACCCAGGCGACCTTCAACTGTTATTTAAACTGTTAAACTGTTACCTTAAACTTGTACCTTTCCTGCCTACATCTTCATTTTGAAAATGCAGTAAATTTATTCTTAACATTTAGCCACCAGATAAAGGAGGGTCAGTGTAATCTTGGTCCCTCTGTTTTGTAATATCTCATCAATGGTGATCTCATTATCTTTCTGAACAGCCAGTTTCCTCTGATCTGTGATTTGACTATATAGATTTGATGACCACATTTCCTAAAATAAAATTTAGTTATGTTTCAGGGAGGTTACTTTTTTCATTTTTATTGTTTTGTGAAGATCAGGCACTAACCTGCTTATCCATTTGGAGTTTCATCCATTTCGCCTCTACTGAGCTTTATACAAACCCTTTTTGTTACTTTCTTTACCTCACATCTGTGGTTCTCAGACTGAAGTGTATGTTAGAATCACCCAACAGCTTGTTGAAACACTACTTGCTGAGTCCTATCCCCAGAGTTTCTGGTTCAGTAGGTCTCAGGTAGAACCTGAGCATTTACATTTCTAACAATTTCCCAGGTGACTCTGATGATGCTGACCCATTGTCCATAGTTTAGACTATAAATATCTTAAAGTACCCGAATTTCATTTTCTGTTTTTCAGGGTGTTTGCAATTACCTTATTAATTGAATTATAAGAATTCATTTTTATTTCTTTCTCTCCATATTTTGAAGTAGAGTTTGTATTCATTGTGTATATTGCACTATACCCCATTATTACTAACGTTTTCATCCAATCATATCCAAGCTCTTATCTATTATTAACTCATTCATCCTCACAATACTCCTCTGAGGTAGTTAATTGGTTGTGTCTTTTATGACAGAGAAACCATGAACAAGTTTACCCAGGAAGATGGTAAAGCTAGAAAATGGATATAAAATCTGTGTTACTAGATCTTACTAATGTGTCCTGTTATTTTTAAATAGGAGATCATGGTGGGCTCCATGTTTCAAGCAGAGATTCCAGTTGGCATTTGTAGATACAAAGAAAATGAAAAAGGTGGGTTATTAATAAAGTTATACAGCTTGCATTCATGCTTTTGAAGTGATGAACTGTTACTTTATAATGGAATAAGATCATGACAGTTTGTTACCCCACTGATTGATGAAAGAGGACTCTTCATTATTTCTGTAAGAAGAAATATGTTTACTGTTTGTTCAGTTTGTCCATAGAAATCTAGAAAGAAAAAAATGAATGCCTTTTTGATACATAAAACATCCCAGCTTTTTATTTTTTTTTCATATTTTAAATATACCCTTTTATAACCTGTATAATTTAAATTTAAAAGGTTATTTTATGTCAAGGGAAGCTGTTAGGTTTAAAAAAACTCAAGTAAACAATGATACAAAAAGCTTACTTTAAGTGTTGAAACTTTTAATATTAGTAAAATTGAGTACTTTGATATTTGTTTATTTGTAAAATAATTTCTTCAACTTGTTATAAAGTTGTTATAAAACAACTTCTATATTTATATTTTACATAATTTTGCCATCATTTTATCTAAAAATAGTAAGGTAAGTCATACTTAAACTTCCAGTAACATAAAATACTTGAGGACTTAAGTCTGTTTCAGATTATTCCTTTGGGTGAGTTCCAGAAAGAATTTTCTGTGTGTGTTTTTAATGAGTTTATGTGTAGTATGAGATCACTCAGTCCTAGAAATCTTTCTTCATTTCTTTTATTTCAGTTGTCTTCTTCACATTTCAGTTGACGTATGCAGAGCCTTTCAGAGTTGTAGAATTCTTTTGTTTCCCTTTTAGCAGTCTCTCAAAAAACTTCCTTTATATATTAAGTTTGTACCTGCTTTCAGGGAAGCAGTAAATAGAGGTAGTTAAGGGAACACCACAGGCCAGTAAATTCTAGTGATGCAAAAATGTTTTAACACACCAGTAATAACTTGTGCTCACTTTCAAGTTAATTCCTGCAATATAGAGGAACACTAAAGGTATCAGTATGGAGTGACTTTGTTATATAGTGAAAATCTCTGCATATGTTTTGTCATTATAGTGTAATTGTGTGCAAAAATAAGTGAACCATTGTCATTTGTATTTATTTTTGTAATTGAATTTTAAATATTATGCTTCGCTTATATGCTGTACAGTGATTAGCACATGTTCACCATTGAGTTCTTGCTCCCACTAAAGAACCAAAAGTTAGACATTAGTTCTAATTTATGAAATTTTTTAAAAGTTTTGACTATGAAAAATAATAGTGTCTATCTTAGAAAATTTTGTATTTTGTAGGTGGGTAGGAAAATATCTTGGTTTTATATGTCGCAGGTTAGTGTTAGAGCTAAAAGTAGTTTTACTTACCTCTTAATATGTTTTTTTATGTTTGTATTGTCAGATATCACAGTAAGTAAATAATCAAGATCTCTGATTTTCACTGTTTTAAATTTTGGTTTGATGCTTTCAGTTTGATTATAATTTTAGAAAGCAATTATACATAATATTTTTTTTCAGGAAAGGTGTGATCTATGAAGCTTTCTCACCGTGTAAACTTAAGCATTTTAGATTGTGTGAGGATCAGACTAGATTTAGCAGGCTGATCCTGCATTGGAGGGGCCACTGTGGTAGAGGGACTTTCCTCAGTTTTATATTTCTAGGAATTCAGACTTCTGTCATGATACCCAGAATTTGTCACCACGTAGGGTGGTGCACACAAACCAAACTCATGTGAAACTTATGTAAACTACACCATTGGAAAACAACTGTTAAAGGGATAGTGATGATTAGTGCATTCTTTCCCTTAAAGGATAAAGTTTGCAAGGTATTTTTTGCTGGTTTGGTGAGCACACATTCAAAAGGGAGAGCATTTGGTTTGAGTGATTTTGATAAAAATGCCACAAAACTAATACACTTTATACCTTCACTGTAGGAATTATTTGACACAAATGGATTAGAATTTTTTCATTGATACAAGGAAACCCTATTACTGAGTATCCTGGAAAGACATTGATAAATTTTTTTCTCTCTGATATCTGATTTCTTTTTTACTAGACTCCATGCAGCTTATATATTCCTTATCAGTTATCACTTCTATTTCAAACAATTTTATAAACAAGATTTGTTACAATTGTGTTTGAGTCCTTTTCCTTTGAACTTTATTACACAATCTCAACTACACAATTAACATTTTCATAAATGTTTGTAAATTAGCACATACTCAGCACAGTATATTATAATCATTTCTTTATTCATTTTTGTATCCTTAATACCTAGTATGATTCTGTTACATAGGTACTCAGTAAACATTTGGTGGCTGAATTATTAGGTAGGTGCAGAATAATGTTAACTGATATGGAGTCATTAAACTTTGATCAGTACATAGGCATTTGGCCTTGGACATGTTTACTTAACTTCCTTTTCTCCTCTATAAAATAGCTATAAAAGAGCATTTATTTACAGAGCCTGTCATGAGGATTTACATGTTATATTTTTAGGTGTAGCTTTAACCACATAGTGTCTGGCACATAGTAAGTGCTCAGTGAGAGGCCTTAATGTTCAATGGATGATTAATCTTACCCATTATTTAGGTTTTATTATTATTCAGATTTTTAGAAAGCACCAGTTTATGCTGTTTTACTTACAAATGGCAAAAATCCAGTTCAGTTAGCTTCAGCAAAAAAGAATCTACCTATTGCTTAACTGGAAGGTTCTGGGTGGCTTCAGATATAACTGGATTTGGGGGTTATTATTATATCATCTGTCCCTCCTCCCCTTTCCGACCTCTTTATTGCCAGACAAGCTAAGATGGCTACTGGGAGCTCCTGGCTTGCTTTACACTGTCCTTGTAGCTAGAGAACCAACAAAAATGAGAACTTCGGCATCCACCTTTGCTCCAGCACAAGTCCTAGAGAGAACCTCTATTGACTTAGCTTGAGTCATACTCAGCCAGAAGTAATTACTGTGACCAGAGAGAAGAGTGAGTGTTCTGGCTTGCCTTGGCTCATTTATCTGTTCTCGGGGCTTCAGGGTGTCAGCCCCACTCAGAACAGATGGGAAGGATTTAATTCCCAAAGAAAGTGTTGAGTAGATGAAAAGCATGATTTTTCAGTTCCGTGTGTGTTTTGTTTCTTTCATGTACTAAACTGAACACTGCAGCTTTTGTGATAAGACTGAATATAATGCTGATAAACATCCTAGATCAAAAAGAGGGCGCCCTCCCCCCCCGCCCCCCGGCTAAGATCTGCCCAAAGTGTCAGTACTGCTGAAGTTGAGAACCCTGGACTAGATTGATTGAGAATTAGTTGGGCTACCTATAGGGATGAAGGTCAAGAGAAAGGAGCTAAGGTATTTCCCGGTCGAATTTTCATGCTTGCATGACGGAGTTTTAGAGTAAGGAAATGATGGCTAGGAATTAGGAAGCAGTGAATAGCAAAGGACCATGTAAATTGTCGTTTCTAAGGAACACTTGACAAATTACTGATTCTTAAGTTACTTACTGAAAACGTATACATGCGTTATCCTTAGTTGATGATGATAATGTTGAAAAGGCAGTTCATACAGCTTATACGTAGGAAAAGCTCAGCAGGACAACTTAAAATGTAGGTTATTAATGATAATGTGACCTTTTAAGACTGTGGGAATTTTTGTTGTAAACCTCATTGTTATACCATAGCTGATTACAGATCTGCATTTTCATCCTCATAATATATTGATTAGATTGAATTTTTACTTAGGCATTAAAAATAGAATAACACTTTTTTTTTTTTTTAACTAAAACTGAAAGTTAACAAATATAAAGTTATTCATTGGGAATTAATTTCCCAGATTGCAGAAGTTTGTGGTTTTTGGTGGTGGTTTCTCAGCTTTCTACATTAGTCCCCCCCACCACACACACCTAGTGAACTTTGTTGAATTATTTTGACAACCCATTTTGCTTATTTGACAAGCTTCATATGTTACTTAAAATGCCATAGTAAGCACTTCCCTAGCTAAATTGCGCGCTCCTGTCTTCTGAACTCTCACATATTTATAATCACGTAAATTGTATCCACCATCATATATTTGTTTTTGCTTTTTAAAGATTCTAATATTTAGGCTTTGTAATTCATTTAGAAAGCAGTAGTTTCAGAGGATGTTACTACATTTCAGTGATTATGATCTTTTGAAATCCATCATGTTCAAGTCATTTTATGTAATTATAATAAAGGGTATTTGTTTTTTTGGTTGCTTTTATAGAGCTTTTCTCTTCATTAGATGTTCTTTCTCTTCTGTAGTTCAGTGTGTTTTACCATAGTGGTGGTGTTCTGATATTCTGATTTCTTGGCATTTAGTTGTTCTACAACAGACACTTAATAAAAATCAACTGTGTTGCCTGTTTTATTTAGAGCACAGTCAAAATTCCTATTTTATTTAGAGTGAAACTTAAGTGGAAAATAATTTGATCTCTTTCTGAAACCAGTAAAGGCAGTGTGGTTTATTCTCTGTGGAAATGCTAATTGTTCTCATCCAGGGTTATTTTTCAGTATGTTGTAATTGTATAAAATGAGGTGTATTCTCAGGGTCAGCCTGTTTGGCTGTCTTGTCACAATTCTAGGGGTCTGGCTTGTCATTTGGCGCCATCTGCTGATGTTTGTGTACTCAGCTTAAATAGGATATCTGTATCCTGTGGCTATCTGAAACCTACAGAATAATTCCAGAAATATCTTCCAGGTTTCCTAAGTCCAATATAGGGATATTTAAGTGGGACAACACTGAGGACTCAGGGACCCACCTTCCCTGTTTCTTAGGGCTTCCTTGTAAGGCCTTGTCCACCCTCTACCCATCAGTCTCAAGAACATAAAAACTGTAGTCTCCCCCCTTCGGTGAAGAGAGGCTAAGCAGAGAACAAAAATCAGTAGTGTATCCAGATTCACTTTATCATGGCAGTTTTATTATATTTACAATTTAGAGTTTGATGAGGATTGTACCGGCAGGTTAGAAAAGGGATGAGGTTTACTACAGAAGATTTTCTAGATTGTCCTTGTACTTTTTTTCTTTTATTTTATTATGTTA